GATGATGATGTTGTTTCCCGTCGGTTGCCCGTGAGCCTGTGGTACCACTTCTATTTAATAAGCCAATTTGTGCAGTAACATGGCTCTCCGAGAATATTTTTCTTCTGGACATGTGCCCGGCTCACCCCCTATTGCATGGGACTTATAACATAAATAGTGAGTAGTGGGTATTACATTGTACAGTGGCATTAAGTGCCGTAATGTGCACCTCTGCCTACCCCTTCGGGGATAAAAGGCGAAATGTTAGCTTCTTCTGAAAATTTGACACGTTTCTTGTTACTTTAAGGCTGGAAATCGGCACGCGCGTACGGCGCTTCGCATTCCGTGCGCCCCTTCCCGAGCCATCCGATCACAGATAGGGCCCAATAGGGTTGCTGCCTATACAGAGCCATCCACAAATTGGGTAGTTTCCAGGGTATCAAAATTAAAAATCTAATTAGTCCGTCAGTTAGATAATGAAAAAATATTAGGCACATATTTTTTTATTTTCGCGTATTAAATTGCAATACTTAGATAAAATGGCGCTAAGTTTAGGAGTGGGAGGTCGTTACGTCATAACGTGCTACAAAATGTGACACGCTGTGACGTCACACGATATTTCAAATATATCGTCGAAAGTATTTAATTTTGTGAGAAAAGAAAGAATACGTGTCTAAAGTTTTAAATTAATGTATTAGACGGACATTAAAATAAAATTTTGGAAACTACCCTACTTATTGTTTTCCATCTTTATTTGGATAATATCAAATCCAAGAACCCATTGCTCGTCAGTAGCACTTGCAACCAGTCGATAGCAGTCTGTCAACGTCTTCTATGACACCCAATCTTATTGTTATATGTATTTCCAGGAAAACACTCGAAGTGGGTATCACCAAGGAGAATTATGTAAAGTTCTTCCATAACTTGCTTTGGTACGAAGAGACCATCATCAGAGTTAATATTAAGGTAAGAAACTGAAAACGCGAGACAAGATTCATCTAATTTTAAAATAAATAGGTTTAAAGATAACAAAAAAAAAATTCTTGCCTATTGCCCATACATAGTCCGATGTGCAGACATCAATCAGCTTACATTACACATTAATCTTCTCCAATCTTATCTATCTTATTTATCTAACAAATGTAGAACTTTATTACTAAAGCAATAAGGTTCATATCCACAGGTCGGAATAAGTTGAGTTTGCTAATGAACTTGTATTTTCCACAGAACTATAATATGTCAGGGGTCACCTTGAAAATCCAGGCAACCCCGAACCATGGTATTGTCTATGCTCTAACTATACCGGGGCTTAGCGAAAAGAGACCTTCTGTTATGATCGGTAAGTTCAAATTCGTTTGCATTTAAATATCAACATCATATTCGTACAAAAATGTAAATATTATATCCGATTCTGTATTTAGACAAAAAATCGTAAAATCGTTCGTTATTTAGACAACAAATAAACTTGCTTGCCTTTAATTTTGACTGCCTCGTCGGTAACTACCGAGCAAAATTCTGATTTAATTCCCGGGCCAGGAACTGTTCTTATGGTTAATTAATTGTCGCGGAAAACCTAACGGGTTACCGGGGCTCCGGCTCGACGTGCAGGAGAAGAAACAGGGTGGTTTTTAGTCAGTAAGAGTCTGACACTCCCTTCCGCCGCACCCAGGTGGAAGCAGTCACTCGATGACTATCGCCCTTTCAAAAAAATGCCTAATTAATTAAATATAATATTTGTTTGCAGGCGACTTATTATTCCTGAGGCACCATAACCACAATGACGTGATGTTTGAAGCGATCGTTAAAGAGGTCACTGAGAACGTAGCATATGTTGGAGGGTTGCATGCCAAGTAAGTAATATTTTGTAGACATTCAATAACACTATAATAATATATTTTTCAAAGGAGGATGTTATTGTCCTCTTTTGCGAAGTTGGGTACTTATAAATAAGTGGTTAGTTTCCTCAGACAAAAATATACTATTTCGACTTTTCAATACAATAAAATATGGAAAAAAATCACATTTTCGTTAATCGATTTGACGATTTGGGTAAAACTGCATGTATGATAATTCATAGAACATCATTAGTTTTGAAAACCGTTAGTTATTTGTACCTACATATATATAGCTTTATCTTACACTTAACACTTCAAAACAACTTATACCAATTTAAATTGTCGCGGAGAACCTAACGGGTAACCGGGGCTCCGGCTCGACGTGCAGGAGAAGGAACGGGGTGGTTCTTAGTCAGTCTGAGTCAATAGTCTGACAGTCCCTCCCGCCTCACCTAGGTGGGAACAGTCATTCGATAATTTTCCCCCCAAAAAAAAATACTAATTTAAATTAGGTCAAAAAGGCATTTTCTAACACCATCTTCTCATTTCCAGCTTCGGCAGCGGCTATTCGCTGACTGCCCTATACGACATTCGATTCTTTATGTCTCGGATCTCATTGGAGAGGATGCACAAAGCTGTGCACGAGATTCGAGACAACGGCCATTACCCGAGGATCTTCCCGACTAGGAACACACACGACGTTAAAGTTGAATCCATCTTAAAGTGAGTATGAATTGTTCGTACCTCCTTAATGTGTTTTTAATTACGGTCATTATTATTATTATTATGTGTCTGTCTATCTGTATCTGTTATGACTTATGACAACTAAACGGATTTTTTTTTATGGCATAAGCCGGTAAACGAGCAGACGGATCACCTGATGGTAAGCAATCGGCGTCGCTCATTGACACCTGGAACACCAGTGCGTTACCGGCCTTTTGGGGATTAGGAGTTTGAGGATCGTTGGGGATTCAGGAATTGGGGAGATTGGGGAAAGGGAGGATAATTGGGCCTCCGGTAACCTCACTCACACGACGAAACACAACGCAAGCGTAGCTTCACGTCGGTTTTCTGTGAGGCCGTGGTATCACTCCGGTCGAGCCGGCCCATTCGTGCCGAAGCATGGCTCTCCCACACTATATGAACCGATTGTTATCACATTTGTTTAAAAGTTAACTTATTTCGTTAATTCGAGAATGAGTACACACGGCCGCACATCAATCTATACAAAACCAGTTTATCCTGGTGTAGCGTCGCATCAACTTTCCGCACATTTAACGTTCAGTTTATACTGGTTATGTAAAGCTGTGTGTATATGATCGTTCGTCATGCTCGTTTGCCACCTACCCCATGAAATAGATGTTATAAATAGACTTCAAAATAGAAGACTTTAAAAATGGGAGGTTCTTAGCTTCTTGCTGGAACGGTTCTGATGCATTTCTGTTTAATAATTCTTCTTATAATGACATTTTTGTCAACATTGTAGTTCTTTATCATCATACTAGCTAATTCCGCGCGGTTTCACACTCTCTGCTCAGCTCTTATTGGTCATAGCGTGATGTTTTATAGCCTATAGCCATTCTCGATAAATGCGCTATCCAACACAAAAAGAATTATTCAAATCAGACTTGTAGTTACGGA